GCCTTCTTGCTGGGTCCAAATTAGGAAATAATTTTAACCACTCCAGATACAATTGTGCAGGCCCTCATATTGAATCCTTATGACTAAAATAGAAACATTCAATTGAAATGTATTTTTGTCTGAATTTGTTGATTCATCAAAATCTAATTGTCGTGCAGGACCATGTTGATTTCAGCTAAATTCACTGAAACCAGATAGATTTCTGATGGAAAGCTGCCTGCCAGACAAATTTCCGAGTGACACCTGCCTGGTTTCCTGCTAGTTTACCCACCTGGCTCCTTGGCAGCCTGGTTGGTGGGTTGCCAGGGAGCTTGGGCTCCCAGCTCTTTGGCATCCTGGGCTCCCAGGTCCTTGGCTCCCAGGAAAAGAGGCAGAGAACAGTCGTTCCATTTTTCAGAAAATTTAGAAATGTTTTAGTTTCATTCCAAATCAGAACAAACCAAATTTCTAAATCTCAAAAGATTCTGTGAAGTGGAATTGCCGTTCTCTGTGCAGCTCTACTTATGACTGTGAAAAGAAAGTTGTATTCTGATTCAGAAGTCCGGTCAATATGAATTCCTGGATTGGTTGAGTAATGCAGTGCAGTCCATTTTTTGAAGTAAGAAATAGCTTTTAGTATACGTAAATATAGAGAATAGATGTAAAACAAAGTAGTAGTTACTGTTTGACATGTTTGTTTTAGCCACAGGTGTCTATTTGATTATCCTTTTCAGACATAGGTTAATTTTAGTTGGTTTACAACTATATATGATCATATGCTTGACAGTATAGTACCTTTGCGAGAAAATGGATAAATCTGTAATGCTGTTATTAATTGAATAACTAGCTCTGACTACTATGAAAAATGAACTTATTCATATAGAAGAAACAAAAATCATAGCAAAGTATTGTCAAAAACTTGTCTTGGGGAAAGAAAAAAACGGGTTGCATTTACTCAACAGCTTTTGCTACCAAATGTGCAGATATGCATTACACACTTTATTACTTTTAGAGAAACTGATTTTATAGGCTATGGGAAAGAAAGGGACACCATAAAATTGACGTTTAGTAATTTTTAAACAAAGAGTTAAAAGTTAGTTTCAGGTAATACAGCTACTCCTGAGTTCCTATTTTAAAAGTTTACTATTAAAAAACGTTACCTCCTGCTGTTTTTGAAAGATTGCCGCAGACAACTAGAGAAATTAATTGCTGTCAAATACAAAAAAAAAAAAAAAGTTTTATATTTAATCTCTACTTCTTGTAACAGTAATACATTTTTTTTAAATTTCAGACCTAACTGTGATTTTTAAATGGACACAAGCAAGTTCAGTGTCTTGAGGGTTTTCTGTGTTGAAATTAACATTTTGGAAGTATTTTTGTCTAGCGTTTCAGGATATCATCTAAGCTGTTTTTCCCCCTCTCCTTTACCCTACCCTTCTATATTTTTGTTTTCTGCGGATACCAAACATTTCTCCCACAACCTTCCCACCAGCCAGAGGTCATGGTTTAGGTTTATTCTTTTTCCTGGTATTGATTTGATACACAAATGAACTATAGAAACAGAATCGTTCACTTACTCTGTACGTGATTTCCACACGTTAAACATGTCATATTTTACACAGGCAGATTGCAGTCTGAGTTTAGGTGGCAGGTGAACAATGAAGTTTCTTGTCGTAGCTATACATTATTCAAAATTTTGCTTTTGATGTGTCTTGATGTAGAACTGGGACTTTTGGTATGGGGAAAGTTTTAGTATGTTTTGACGAAAGTAATGGTTTATTTAAAGTATTCCAGCTTGCACAAAAATATTTAGATTAGTCATGGCCTGAGAAAACTCAGGCTCTCCAGAGGGATCTAACAGAGTGAGATGAATGAACTGTAAGATGCAGATGAAATTCAGTGTTGATAAATGCCAGGTAATCTACACTGAAAAAAATAGTTTGAACTACTCAGGAGCTGATCAGAGCATGGACAAATCACTTAGCCATTGGGACAGGAAAGAAGGTTTATTGTATTTTCAGTGTCTTGAGTAAGAAGAAGATTCAGCATTTAATGACAGCTTTGGATGTGTGGGAAGCATACTTTTGTCAACAATAAACAGAAAATGGCGATGCTTTTGGAGGAAAAAGAAGCTTTATTTAATGTTTGAAACTATATAATTTAGGGAACAATTTTGTATTTTTCGGGTTTTAGGCAAGATGACTAAAGGTCTCTTCAATCTCTGGTTTCTATGATGCATGTTAATTAGCTCAACTTGAAATAGAACATAAGACTAGAGGTTAAACAAATTTGGAGTATTGATTAGGATTGACAAGGGAGATACATTGTGTAGTCACTTCGGTGTTTTCTACTCTTCTGTTTATCTGAATGAGTAGAAATACTCAAAGTGCAAAAATGTGATAATTCATCATCAGTAACAACCAAGAACACAAATATTCAGGAGCATGAGAAGACTTAGTAAATATAAGCTTGCTTTGTAAATGTTCTTTTGTCGAGCAAAAATATTACATAGTATAAACTATAATTAGAAAATGGAACATAAATCTAGAGAAAAGGATGTGTTTGTCTGCTGCTAGAAGAGAACTGCCAGATATGTGATGAAAATGACAGGTTCTCCTCCCTGATATTGCCTCCACAGAGGCCAACTGCAGGCCTAATCATAGAATCTCTTGTGAAGTTACATTTGATCAGTGTGATGTTCCTCAAGCCCTACCTTCCTTGGGGTCAAGGACATGCTACCCCCACTCTGAACTCAAGCATATAAATAGCCCATCCTAGTGGTCCTGCAGATCCTCTCTGTCTGCCAGGGTACCTCTGTCTCCCTTGTGTTGTGCAGTAGTGAGGAAAGCTGTTGATTCTAATTTCTGTATAGTTCTTGTAGGTTCATTTAGTAGTAACTTCAAGTTTTTTTGTATAAACCGAACAACTTTATCAGTCTAACCATTAAGGCAGATATAACAAAAAAACCAAAGGTTTAAGATATGCATATCTTGCCATGTCAGAAAGCCTGGTTCAGATGGTCGTGTTCTCAAAGTCCTTTTCTGAAAGAGAAAAAGGGCCACCAAACAAGAGTCCAAAATATTCTCCTTTGGGGTGCATTAAGAGTGCAGTCTTAGAGACCTTCGTTAAAAAAGGGTTTCTGAGCACAAAGTGGTGTGGCTATGAAACCCATCTTGGTGCCAAAGCCTGCTGAGTCTCTGCAGGCGGACTAGGGGTCCATCTCAAAAGAAGGTGGCCTATAAAGGTCACTTCATAAGATACTGCTGACTCCAAGATCCAGACCCTTTGAGCTTTGGAAAATTCTGCTCTGACTTTCAGTGGCTCTAAAGAAGTAACAAGGTGCTGGAAGGAAAAAATCACTGGCTGGGGCTTATTGTGGTTTGCCTCCTCAGAACATACAATTTTTGACAAAGAAAGGGCCTCCTTGGATCCAGGCCATTTGGTTTTGTCCTCTGCTCTGCAGTGCCCATTGGATTGTAGGATTGATCCTCCATTTCCCTGGATTACCAACAGATTCCCATTAAAGGTGTTAATAAAGGGGCTCTGAGGATTCAGCAGTGTTGTCAGTGCCAGACACTGATGATTCCTTTTTGGGCTTGATGCCCTCAATTCTGTTGAAGTTTTCTTTGGAGTAGCTGTCCCCTCAGGTGCAAGAGAGTATCTCAGTGCTGCGGGAGCCATGGTTCTGAGAAACTCCAGAGCGTGGTTTGGTGCTGTGAGGGTCTTGGAGCAGACAAGAATCTGCTCCTGGCCCTTCTGTTGAAGCTTCTCCTCAAATGGGGCCAGCCACCTATGTTTTGTCTCAACCCTATTTGTGCCTGTAAACTAGCGCTGTCAACCCTTTAAGGCAGAGGTGGGCAAACTACGGCCCCTGAGCTCCTGGCACAATGAGCTGGGCGGCGAAGCAGCGAGCTCCTGGGGCAGCGCAGCTGCAGAGCCTGGCCTGACCAGGTGCTCTGTGCACGGCTGTCTGTCCTGGTGCAGCCGCGCCGCCAGCCACCAATGCTCCAGATACCGCGGTAAGGAGGTGGGGAGGTATTGGATAGAGGGCAGGGGAGTTCGGGGGGTGGTCAGAGCCAGGGGTGTGGGTCGGGGTGGTCAGAGGGCAGGGAACAGGGTGGTTGAATGGGGGAAGGGGTCCCAGGGGGGCAGTCAAGAAGGAGAGGGGGGGTTGGATGGGGTGGCGTGGGACAGTCAGGGGACAGGGAGAAGGGGTGGTTGGATGTGGCAGGGCTCTGGGGGGGCCATCAGGAAAGGGGGGGGTTGGATGGGGCAGCGGGGGGCAGTCAAGGAGAAGGGGTGGTTGGATAGGGCAGGGGTCCGGGGGGGGGCAGTCAGGAAGGAGAGGGGAGTTGGATTGGGTGTGGGGGGCAGTTAGCGGTAGGGTGTCCAGGGGCGGTCAGGGGACAGAGAGCAGGGGATGGATGGGGCAGGGGTCTCCGGGAGGCCATCAGGGAACAGGGGGGTTGGATGTCCCCTACCTGACCCTCCATACAATTTCAGAAACCCGATGCAGCCCTCGGGCCAAAAAGTTTACCCGCCCCTGCTTTAAGGGGAAAATTTAAATAGAGGAAAATGAGCTTGTTGAATTATCTATATACAACTTTTGTTATTAGACATATTTACATAAAACAGAATCTTTGCCATTTTGGAATTCATCTGCTCCCATTGCTTTTTCTTCACTTGAAACCTAATCCTTTGTGCTTATTACATTTGCCTTCACAGCAACTAATTGTTGTATTACAATGATTATGACTTAAAGTGAGGTGAAAGAAACAAAAGTATGGGGATCTCCAAAACAAAGTTGCTTTTTTCATACAAATGCCTCTATTAATGAAACCAGGGAAAGAAAAATGCCAAAAATGTATCAGCACAATTGTTGCTAAACAGTGTATTTTAATCTAATAAGATCATGAAGTGATTAAGTGCTTTCCTTTCCAGGAAATACATTAGTGGAGCTTCAGGCGTAGGGATATCCTGACACAAATTATTAATGTAGTCTTCTAGAAGGAGCAGGGATGTTTTGGCCAGACAGAGTATACATACATTTTTTTTAGACAGCTGTGATTACATCTTTGTTATCATAGGTACATACACATAAATTCTGGAACTGTCTTAACTTTGTTTTTACATTATTATGGCCATTCTGCTAAATTCTCTTTCTCAGTTACAGAATCATTTGTTCAATAAAGTTGCACATAATAAACAAATGAAAGCTAGAGATATTATTAATCCCTCCCACTCTGCTTGATGCCAGTAGGCTACTGAACAATTAGTTCAGTTCTACTACTGGTAACTTCCAAGTTAAAAAAAAGAAAAAAAAATATCCTTGCAGTGATATCTAACTTCTCTACTGTGGTACTGTATCTTAGTCCTGCTCTACACTAGGACTTTAGGTCGAATTTAGCAGCATTAAATCGATGTAAACCTGCACCCGTCCACACGATGAAGCCCTTTATTTCGACTTAAAGGGCTCTTAAAATTGATTTCCTTACTCCACCCCTGACAAGTGGATTAGCGCTTAAATCGGCCTTGCCGGCTCGAATTTGGGGTACTGTGGACACAATTCGACGGTATTGGCCTCCGGGAGCTATCCCAGAGTGCTCCATTGTGACCGCTCTGGACAGCACTCTCAACTCAGATGCACTGGCCAGGTAGATAGGAAAAGAACCGCGAACTTTTGAATCTCATTTCCTGTTTGGCCAGCGTGGCAAGCTGCAGGTGACCATGCAGAGCTCATCAGCAGAGGTGACCATGATGGAGTCCCAGAATCGCAAAAGAGCTCCAGCATGGACCGAACGGGAGGTATGGGATCTGATCGCTGTATGGGGAGAGGAATCCGTGCTATCAGAACTCCGTTCCAGTCTTCGAAATGCCAAAACCTTTGTCAAAATCTCCCAGGGCATGAAGGACAGAGGCCATAACAGGGACCCGAAGCAGTGCCGCGTGAAACTGAAGGAGCTGAGGCAAGCCTACCAGAAAACCAGAGAGGCAAACGGCCGCTCTGGGTCAGAGCCCCAAACATGCCGCTTCTATGATGAGCTGCATGCCATTTTAGGGGGTCCAGCCACACTACCCCAGCCGTGTTGTTTGACTCCTTCAATGGAGATGGAGGCAATACGGAAGCAGGTTTTGGGGACGAAGAAGATGATGATGGAGGAGGAGGTTGTAGATCGCTCACAGCAAGCAAGTGGAAAAACTGGTTTTCCCGACAGCCAGGAACTGTTTCTCACCCTGGACCTGGAGCCAGTACCCCCCGAACCCACCCAAGGCTGCCTCCTGGACCCAGCAGGCGGAGAAGGGACCTCTGGTGAGTGTACCTTTTGAAAACACTATACATGGTTTAAAAGCAAGCATGTGAAAGGATTACTTTGCCCTGGCATTCGCGGCTCTCCTGGATGTACTCCCAAAGCCTTTGCAAAAGGTTTCTGGGGAGGGCAGCCTTCTTGCGTCCTTCATGGTAGGACACTTTACCACTCCAGGCCAGTAACATGTACTCGGGAATCATTGTACAACAAAGCATTGCAGTGTATGTTTGCTGGCGTTCAAACAACATCCGTTCTTTATCTCTCTGTGTTATCCTCAGGAGCGTTAGATATAATTCATGGTCACCTGGTTGAAATAGAGTGCTTTCCCTCAGGGGACACTCAGAGGAGCCCATTCCTGCTGGGCTGTTTGCTTGTGGCTAAACAGAAATGTTCCCCGCTGTTAGCCACAGGGAGGGGGGGAGGTTTGAGGGTGTAGCCATGCGGTGTGGGGAGGCAAAATGCGACCTAGTAACGAAAGTACATGTACTATGTATGTAATGTTAACAGCAAGGTTTACCCTGAAAGAGTGTAGCCACTGTTTTATAAAATGTGTCTTTTTAAATACCGCTGTCCCTTTTTTTTTCTCCACCAGCTGCATGTGTTTCAATGATCACAGGATCTTCTCCTTCCCGGAGGCTAGTGAAGCTTAGAAAGAAAAAAAAACGCACTTGAGATGAAATGTTCTCCGAGCTCATGCTGTCCTCCCACACTGACAGAGCACAGACGAATGCGTGGAGGCAAATAATGTCAGAGTACAGGAAAGCACAAAATGACGGGGAGGAGAGGTGGCAGGCTGAAGAGAGTAAGTGGCGGGCTGAAGACAGGGCTGAAGCTCAAATGTGGCGGCAGCGTGATGAGAGGAGGCAGGATTCAATGCTGAGGCTGCTGCAGGACCAAACCAGTATGCTCCAGTGTATGGTTGAGCTGCAGCAAAGGCAGCTGGAGCACAGACTGCCACAATAGCCCCTGTGTAACCAACCGCCCTCCTCCCCAAGTTCCATAGCCTCCACACCCAGACGCCCAAGAACGCAGTGTGGGGGCCACCAGCCAACCAGCCACTCCGCCACAGAGGATTGCCCAAAAAAAAGAAGGCTGGCATTCAATAAATTTTAAAGTTGTAAACTTTTAAAGTGCTGTGTGGCATTTTCCTTCCCTCCTCCACCACCCCTCCTGGGCTACCTTGGTAGTCATCCCCCTATTTGTGTGATGAATGAATAAAGAATGCATGAATGTGAAGCAACAATGACTTTATTGCCTCTGCAAGCGGTGATCGAAGGGAGGAGGGTCGGGTGGTTAGCTTACAGGGAAGTAGAGTGAACCAAGGGGCGGGGGGTTTCATCAAAGAGAAACAAACAGAACTTTCACACCGTAGCCTGGCCAGTCATGAAACTGGTTTTCAAAGCTTCTCTGATGCGTACCGTGCCCTCCTGTGCTCTTTTAACCACCCTGGTGTTTGGCTGCGCGTAACCAGCAGCCAGGCGATTTGCCTCAACCTCCCACCCCGCCATAAACGTCTCCCCCTTACTCTCACAGATATTGTGGAGCACACAGCAAGCAGTAATAACAGTGGGAATACTGGTTTCGCTGAGGTCTAAGCGAGTCAGTAAACTGCGCCAGCGCGCCTTTAAACGTCCAAATGCACATTCTACCACCATTCTGCACTTGCTCAGCCTGTAGTTGAACAGCTCCTGACTACTGTCCAGGCTGCTTGTGTACGGCTTCATGAGCCATGGCATTAAGGGGTAGGCTGGGTCCCCAAGGATACATATAGGCATTTCAACATCCCCAACAGTTATTTTCTGGTCTGGGAATAAAGTCCCTTCCTGCAGCTTTTGAAACAGACCAGAGTTCCTGAAGATGCGAGCGTCATGCAACTTTCCCGGCCATCCCACGTTGATGTTGGTGAAACGTCCCTTGTGATCCACCAGAGCTTGCAGCACTATTGAAAAGTACCCCTGGCGGTTTATGTACTCGGCGGCTTGGTGCTCCGGTGCCAAGATAGGGATATGGGTTCCGTCTATGGCCCCACCACAGTTAGGGAATCCCATTGCAGCAAAGCCATCCACTATGACCTGCACATTTCCCAGGGTCACTACCCTTGATATCAGCAGATCTTTGATTGCGTGGGCTACTTGCATCACAGCAGCCCCCACAGTAGATTTGCCCACTCCAAATTGATTCCCTACTGACCGGTAGCTGTCTGGCGTTGCAAGCTTCCACAGGGCTATCGCCACTCGCTTCTCAACTGTGAGGGCTGCTCTCATCTTGGTATTCATGCGCCTCAGGGCAGGGGAAAGCAAGTCACAAAGTTCCATGAAAGTGCCCTTACGCATGCAAAAGTTTCGCAGCCACTGGGAATCGTCCCAGACCTGCAACACTATGCAGTCCCACCAGTCTGTGCTTGTTTCCCGAGCCCAGAATCGGCGTTCCACAGCATGAACCTGCCCCATTAGCACCATGATGCATGCATTGGCAGGGCCCATGCTTTCAGAGAAATCTGTGTCCATGTCCTGATCACTCACGTGACCGCGCTGCCGTCGCCTCCTCGCCCGGTATCGCGTTGCCAGGTTCTGGTGCTGCATATACTGCTGGATAATGCGTGTGGTGTTTAATGTGCTCCTAATTGCCAAAGTGAGCTGAGCGGCCTCCATGCTTGCCTTGGTATGGCGTCCGCACAGAAAAAAGGCGCGGAACGATTGTCTGCCGTTGCTCTGACGGAGGGAGGGGCGACTGAGGACATGGCTTACAGGGTTGGCTTCAGGGAGCTAAAATCAACAAAGGGGGTGGCTTTACATCAAGGAGTATTTCAGGCAGGACTTCACGGAGGGTTCCAATAAGAAATGGTGCACCTAAGTTACCGTTCTTATTGGAACAAGGAGGTTAGCCTGGCCTCTGATTGATACATGGTTACATTTACCTCGCTGCACCTTCTCTGTGAGTGACTGCAGTGTGACCTAGAGGAATGAGTCCCCTAGACAGGGGAGGGGGGGAAGCAAAAGCGTACAAAACAAATCTGGTCTATTTCTTGTTTTGACCCACTCCATCTATCTTTTACATCTTTGGCTGGCAGCAGACGGTGCAGAAGGACTGCATGAAATCCACATCTCATGGCTGCTCGGCAGAAGATGGTACAGTACGACTGCTAGCCATCCTCATCTCTTGCCTGCCCTGCAGAAGATGGTACAGTACGACTGCTAGCAATTCGTATCGCCTGCCTGCTCACCATAAGACGGTTCAATAGGACTGACTGCAGGACTAAAGAGAATGACCTGGTCAAGTCACTCCAAATTTAGTCCCTGCGCCCATGTCTGCCCAGGCGCTCCCAGCCGACGTGGCCAGGAGCACCTCAGACATGACGAGGACGGCTACCAGTCGTCCTGTACTGTCTGCTGCCACAATGCAATGGGTTGCTGCTACTGTGTAGCAATGCCGTACCGCGTCTGCCAGCACCCAGGAGACATACGGTGACGGTTACCTGAGCGGGCTCCATGCTTGCCGTGGTATGGCGTCTGCACAGGTAACTCAGGAAAAAAGGCGCGAAACGATTGTCTGCCCTTGCTTTCACAGAGGGCGTGAAACGATTGTCTGCCCTTGCTTTCACGAAGGGAGGGAGGGAGGGAACGGGGGCCTGACGATATGTACCCAGAACCACCCACGACAATGTTTTAGCCCCATCAGGCATTGGGATCTCAACCCAGAATTCCAATGGACAGCAGAGACTGCGGGAACTGTGGGATGGCTATCCACAGTGCAACACTCGGGAAGTCGACTCTAGCCTCGGTACTGTGGAAGCACTCCGCCGAGTTAATGCACTTAATGCACTTAGAGCATTTTCTGTGGGGACACACACACTCGAATATATAAAACCGATTTCTAAAAAACTGACTTCTATAAATTCGACCTAATTTCGTAGTGTAGACATACCCTAAGTACCAATCAGTGACTGACTGGCTTGCTCACAGATAAGTTCAGACAAAAAGCAAAACAGTCTTTGAGCTTTGAAAGACTTCACTTGTTTGTTGTTTTCTTTTAGTTTTTCTACCTTGTTGTGGTTTGTGGCATGAGCCAGAAAAAGAAGTACTGAACTACAATGCAAGAGGTTGTTTTTTGTTGAATTTCTAGCCCAGCCTAAACCAGAAAGTTCTAGAAATCTTGTGGGGGGGAAAAAACAGCTTGTGAGATTTCCAGCCTGAATTTGTTTTCCAAGCAAAAAAGCTTTCAGATCATCTCTTAAAATACCTAATAAACCTTTAAAGTGATTTTGGGATTTTTTTTTACACTTCAGAATCCAAGCTTCTTTTTAATGCACATTATCACAACAGATATACCTATCTACAGTTCTGTTTACAGAACTGTTCCTCTCAGTTCAGCTCTACCCTTTCTAATTAGCGCTTCACTCTGGTTTTGAAACAATTGTCTCCTGGCTCTCTAGCTGCTAGATCTTTTTGTTTCATGCATTGTTTTATCCATGTCTGATCACTTTCTTCTAGGTGTCATTACAGCCATGGACTTCTGTGAACTTTTGATATTTAATTGGCTCTTGCAGTTTAGTGCTTAAAGAGGATATATTTGCTTTTCATAGTCTGTTACCATAGTGCAGAGATTCTAAGAAACCATGTTACTTCTCCTATTTATGAATTGCATGTAAAATTCATAGTCTTAACTCTGGATGGTTAATTGTAGTTGATCTTCCAGTAATCTCTGTGTCCATGTTGTCTTTTTGTGTTGATTCCACTACAGCAGTGTGGCATTAGTGAATTCTTAGGCCTGGTCTACACTACAGAGTTAGGTCAAAGTAAGTCAGCTTACATCGGCCTAACTCTGTAAACATCTACACTAAAATGTAGCTCCCACCGAAGTAACTCGTCTACTACACCGACTTAATAACTCCACCTCTGTGAGTGGCATAGCACTTAAGTAGATGTAGTTAGGTTGACGCAGTGTCAGTGTAGACACTGCTTTCCTTACATTGACTGTTGCTGCCTTCTAGAAACCATCCCACAATGCCCCACAATGGCAATTAAATTGGTGCAAGAGTTCCTGTTGAGGATGCGCACCACCAACGAAGGGAGCTTAAAGTGGACATGTAAAACTGATTCAATTACTGCGGTGGCTGTATGTCAACATAACTTAGGTCGATTTAATTTTGTAGTGTAGACATGCCCTTATTCATAATGAGGTCCACAGGCCCATGACATTGGGCACTCTGCTTACTCTATGCAGCCTTTGGAGGCAGACCAAACCTCTCATTCAGAAGCAGGGAAAGTGTGGCTCCATCTCTGAAAAACTGCCAGATTCCATCTGCCTCTCCAGCTGCAGGCAGACAGACTAGCTCCTCCTGATGCAAAGCAAATTTAAAGAAGAAAAAGTAAGGGGGGGAGGCTTAAAATCTCCAGGCTGTCAGAATCTGCCTTTATAGGCAGAGATTATTTCCTTTCTCCTCAATGGAGAAATGCCCCCACCCACTTGGAGGGCAGCAATGCTGAGAGGGAAACCAGATGTTGTCTTTCCTCCATCTCCCCCGCTGTTTAAATGCCTACGTTGGGATCTGTGCCTGTTCTGTAAAGATCCAGGCCTTTCTCAAGTGCTCAGACAGGCAGGATTTCCAGCAGCCTCTTTCCCTGGAAGCAGTGGCAAAATGCACTAGGCTTAGTACAGACAACAGCAGCAGTCCCAGGTCCAAGACCAGCAAGCAGCAGCTCCCTCCTGGTGTCTGCAGAGCAGCTCCCTATCCTCTCCCCCGCCCTGCTGCAGTGTAGATCAGGTCTCAGAGTGCAGCATGGCAAATCGATGCAGAAAAGACCAGGCCATAGAAGTGCTGTTTCCTCTATGCACACATATACACAACCCCCACATGGGGAATTCTCCCTGCTAGGAGAGGGAGACCAACACTCCAAATCAGAGCTAAAGACTCAAATAATAAAATAAATACATAGCTCCCTACCACATACATGCACAGAGCATAGACTTTCAGGAAAAGTGTATTGAGTATTGTAAACTATAGTTTGAGGTCTGTAGATACCATACATAAACTTTAGCTAGATATCCCTCCTCATATAACCTGTGAGCATGTAATAGTGGGATGGAGATTTCCTGCCGTGCTTAAAGACTGGGACAACAATGGGGCTCTTGTCCTGCAGGTTGCCATGTCTTAACTATTGGGCTTTCATTCCGAGTGATTGCTGT